GAAGCTAGCGGCTCATGGGTACATCAGTCTTGAAAGGACCTAGATGAGGTCCCATGCGGAAGCGGTTGCTTCATCTGAGGAAAGGATGTATCTAGCCCCAAGGGATTTATGAAAACAAAGCTGGTCCCATTCCCAGGATGTAACTCAGAGATAGCTGCCAGATAAACTCTGACCAAAGAAACGGCTAACCCGTGCTCCTTCAGGTGGAGGAGATAGTCAAGGATGAGAGGAATGGAGGTCTGGGATGGGGAGACCTGGTACTCATTACACCAGCATGAGAACGTCTTCCACTTAGCCAGGTAAGTGGCCCCGGCGAATGGCTGCCTATTGCCTAAAAGAATCTGCTGGGCCTGGAGGGAGCTTTGAAGTTCTGTGATATTTAACCATGGAGCTTCTATGCCATGAGATGCAGGGATGGGAGGTCCAGGTACCATAAATGCCCATTGTCCTGCAAGATAAGGTCTGGGTAAAAAGAGAGCTCGATGGATGATTCCACTAACATCTCTAGGACCAATGTGTACCAGTGCTGGCATGGCCAAGCCAGTGCCATCAAGATCCACATGGCTCTCTCCCTGCAGATTTTGAGAATAACCCTGTCAATCAGGGCACAGGGAATGTACAACAGCTGGATCTTCCAGTACAGCATGAACGCAACTTTTGCATCCCCAGATTGTGCAAAAGAGTGGGATCAATCTGGGGAGTTCCCCAGTGGCAGATGATAGAGTGGAGAACATCATTCTTCACTGGCCACTCGTGGCTGAGGAAGGACCTGCCTAGGCAGTCTGCCACTACATTCTGGATCCCTGGGAGATCAGAAGTTTCCAGAATAGGAAAGCTTTGTTGATATAAAACATAGCAGTGGTACTATCTGTCAGAACTGTAATGCTTTGACCTCCCATAGTGGCGTGGAAGGTTGGACAGGTCAAATGAACTGCCCTGAGCTCCTTGACATTGATGTGCTGGAGCATCTTGTCATCTGACCATCTGTCTTGGGTCCACACGACCCCAAAGTGCACTCCCCCCCCCCCCCCCCACCTGAGATCTAATGCATCTGTGACTAGCATCAAGCTGGGACACTTGAAAGGGGACACCCATGTACACCACCCAGAAGTCCACCCACTATAACAGGGACAGGAGGTCATTCAGTGGAATAGTTAGTACCTGCTCTAGTACACTGAAAAAAGCCAAACCTGGACCAGCCTGAATCTCAGTCTGGCATGCGCAACCACATATGTGCACGCCACCATGTGACCAAGAAGGCCCAGGCAGCTCCTGGCCATGATGCAGTGATTGTATGAGTCAGCATGTCCCTGTCACTCATCCTAGGCAGTGTGGAAATAGAGGCATCCATTGGGTAAGGAGTTGATGAGGTGGTCCTTGGCCGTTTGGGATGATGAGGACCAAAAGTCACTAACCCGGATGTCATGGAAGGTGGTCCCTGGGCCTAATGATATGTCCAAAAATTCCAAAACAGCCACTGTGATGGAGGTAGCCATTGTGGCTGCCACTGCATCTGGTGGCCTGTTAAATATCTAGGTGTTTGCCTGGTTCCCCTGAAGAAGGTGGACTCTCCTTTGGATAACAATGCCAAAGATGAAGACCACAGAGGAGCCGAGGAACCCTGCATCGGGGCCATGAATGAAAGGAGGAAGAACAGGAACAGGGCCGGGGGGAGTGTGGTGGGGCACTATGAGACCTCAGTGTATGAGGATGGGATGCTGGTGCCTGTGTGTGGTGCTGTGACCATGAATCCAAGGAGGACCGGTGCCAGTGCCTAGTGTGCAGAGAAGATGGTGTTTCATGCCTCAGTGCCAGAAGGTGGGCAGAGACAGGTGCCAGAGCTGGAGTCGAAGCTGGTGACCGATGAGAGTCTCTCCCCGACACTGATGCATGGTATGGCACTTGGAGTTGAGGGATGACCTTCCAGTACCAGTGCTGAACAAGCAAGGTGTGCACTCCATGCTCGGGACAGTTTAAGTATGCACCCAACCTATCAGAGAGGCATCAGTGGTGATCTGAATGCATGTCTTTTCTTGTTGGAATGGGACACCCATGCACACATTGGTGTTGTCCCACCACTGCAGGGATTTCATGACTTTTGGTGGGGTAATATTAGCATTTTATTTAGGTTATTCTGTGATTTATGTAGTTAGCCAATCTGGAGACAGTGCATGTGTAGTCGTGTATGTTTGACCACAAACATGTAGGCTCCTAAGTGTCCTAACACTTACAAACATGTGCTTGCAGAAACTCTTGGGCTGTTTATCATTACTGATATGAGGGTGTTCACAGTGTGAAATCTGCACATAACAGAATTCATTCCACACATGGATATAAAAAATTAGAGGGGATACTGGTGTTAGCCCTTACTATTCAATAAGTATTTCAGAGAGGAATACATCTCTTCAAAGCTTACTTGAAAATTGTGTTTGTACAGACACTAAATGCTAAATGCATACTCAGTCATTTGGCATGAACAAGTGCATTAATAATCAAAGTAATTACATACAGATAACAGATTTGAAAAATCTGATTTTGAAAGTTTTAAAGAATTTAACTACATACTGAAAAAGCAACAAAGTGGCTAAAATAATTGAGAACTATTTTGATTCAAATCAGATGTCTGGTTTCTACTGCTGCTGAAGTTTACAGAGAGTTAACACAAACAGCAAAATCATTCAGTTCAGTAATATCAATAGCATCTCAATCCTTTGCAAGCATGAGGAAAAAGTAATAAAATAATCTGACGTGGCAATAAATCACAGGCCTGTTAATGGCTATGTTACTGTCAATAAAATGTGTTTTCCTTTACTGTCACAAACAAATAGAACCCCCTTAAACAACTCCTTTGCTGCAAATGCTTGGATTTCAATACAATATTCACAGTATAATATATTTTAGGAATTTTTAATGTACAACACAGAAGAAGAATTACATTTGGTTTTGGTCTAAAGTGTTGCATTTTAAATTCTAAAGTGTGCAAGGTTTTGTTTTAATTTGCTCTTGGAAAAGGTAATCCTTTTTTCCTAAGTGAATCACCTTAAGTATATCCAATTAATGGACAGGTTCCATGTATCATTTTGGTTGCTCATTTTGTTGAGAAAATATCTACTATTTGTGATATGCATTCATTCTCAACATTCTGCTTGATTAGCTGAAACATGATACATTATTCAGCTGAGGCTGCTTATCCTCCATGGATCACTAAATGTTTTTAAGCTCATCAGTAAACTGGGCTTGCTGAATTATTATCTAAAGGGTATAAAAATGAATACTATTCAATATTGGATGGATACCTCCCATTTGAACAAGAGAAAGCTTTACTGATTACCTGTACCGTGTTTTAACATAATGACAAATACGATCCATGGTCATCAGTTAAATATGAATACACTTCTAAAAAGAATATGTTCCAAACACTTCTTTTCTTTAGTTAATAACAGCAATTTTTATGAACAATGTTATTTTAGTTCATAAATTGGGAAAGATCGTGCAACATAATCTGGTCTTGTTTCAAAAACATCTATGATTGTATAGTAAATTAGATGTCTTAAAGATTAAAATCATGCCAAGTCTTTTCATTGGTGTTTTAATCAACATATCTAATGAGAATTATTCAGTTCATAATCAGAATGTGATATAACAAAGCCTTTTTTATAATAATACAGATTGGACCTCCCTGGTCCAGCACCCTCCAGCTGTCCCAGACCTGGGAGTTTACCAGACTAGGAGAGGTGAGTTCTCCCCAGCTGCCTTCCCTACTCAGGGGCTCCATTCCCTGGGGCTCCCTGCCCCGTCACCTGCCCTGCTAAAGCTGGCCTGGCATGGCTCCCCACCTTGCTGCCTGCCCGCTGCTCCAGGGTTTCCCAGGGTGTTCTCCGGGGCCACGCAGGTGTTGTCTGCCCTGCTACCATCACAGGTTCCCCAGCATGGGGCTGCTTGGAGACCCCACCCTATTGCTAGGGCTGTCGTGCTACTGTGGGGATTCCAGACACCGCTTCAACCAGGGGGCTCCGCAGCAGAGGCTGCCCATCCACTCCAGCACTGCTGCCAAAGGGGGTTTCCTGGGGCTTCTGGCCAGGGCTGCCCGGCCACATGCAGCTCAGCTGCAGCCGGGGATTCCCCAGCTGGGGCCGGGACTCCCCGGCCACGTGGCCCCGCTAACACCTGGGGTTCCCCAGCCTAGGCAGAAGCTCCCCGGCTGCTGCCTTGTCCTATGAATGCTGGGGATTCCAGGCCAGGGTGCGGGCTCCCCAGATGCCACTTGCTCCAGCTCCCTAGCCTCTGCCCTGCCGGACCACGGATGTTGCCAGACCAGAGAGTTCCAGATTTGGGGGGGGAGGTTCAACCTGTACTAGCAAGACATTATTTTACTTAAAGGGGACATCGAATAAAACAGACAGAGCAATAACACAGATGGAAGGTATCATTTTTAGTGTGTCTTCAAAGGCTTCTTCCATGTGAATGTATAATATCCAAATGGTAGGGCTACATTCTGAAAGTTACAAGTTCATCAATGTTCTGATTGTAAAAAATTCTCTGTGCTTTCCATAAGTTATTTATTCTACACAGTAATCACAGTTTATGAGGATGCCACATAAGAGCTGTATGAAATGTTCAAAACAAAACTGTAAAATATAGGATACTTACCTGGGCTCAATTTAAGTTGCAAATTAAATCCCATTAACTTTTTTAACAATAACTGGGTTATTGGTTTGCACTTATTGTGAAATGTGCAGCTTGTCTGATAAAAAACACTCAGCAAAACTCAATGGTTTCAACTGAGTTTTATTTACAGATTTGAGCTAAACTGGACCCCAAATTCAAAGTGAAAACATAGTGAATTCAAACTCATAAGGCAAAGCCACTGAAAACGTTTGCACAAATGCCAAGGGAGGAAACTGATGAGATATATACAGTTTTAAGCATGTTGCAAATATTTAAAATCCATTGCCAGTTAAGAAACTGCCTGGCATGATTAAGAAAGCATTCTCACTTACCACAAGTGAGAGAGGCCTTTTCCATGAGACAACACCAATCAGTCCTGACAACAGCACCTGAAATCAAGTGAAAAGGGTCACCAAAGAGACATAGATTTTATATTAACACCTAAAGAACTTACAGTAGCTTTTTCGAAAAAGAACAATATTCAAACTGCAAGAAACCTAATTGGTTTCCAAAACTGTTGGGACTGGAAGGTGAAATACTGCAAGACTGGCTATTGAAACAAAGGCTGTGTCTAGACTACATCCCTTTTCTCAAAAAAGGGATGTAAATTAGACACTTCGAAATTGCAAATGAAGCCAGGATTTAAATTTCCTGCGCTTCATTTGCATAATGGCTACCGCGTTTTTTTTTTGAAATGGGGCTTTTTGATAGAAAAATGGCAGCTTAGATGGGGATCTTTCAAAAATAAACCCCTTTTTCGAAAGATCCTGTACTCCTCAAAAAATTAGGTTTACAGGATCTTTTGAAAAAGGGTTTTATTTTTGAAAGATCCCTGTCTAAACTGCCGTTTTTCTATCAAAAAGCCCCATTTCGAAAAAAACCCACGGCTGCCATTATGCAAATGAAGTATGGGAAATTTAAATCTCGGCTTCATTTGCAATTTCGAAGTGTCTAATTTACATCCCTTTTTTGAGAAAAGGGATGTAGTCTAGACATAGCCAAAGAATGTAGACCATATGTACAAGATGAGCGACTCTATCCTCGGAAGCAGTGACTCTTAAAAGTATTTGGCGTCATAGTGGATAATCAGCTGAACGTGAGTAAGAATAGTTCATCAAGAGAAATGATGGATTTGCCATCTCTAACAATTTTGAAAATCAATATAGAATGTTTTCTCTAAAAGATCTGTTTTAGGAATTATTTTGGTAGAAGTTTTATGGCCAGCGTTACATAGGAGATCAGACTAGAGTAGGAGTGGGCAATAAAACAGTGGTGGTTCACCAGGGTTAGCCACTGGCAGGGCGCTGCTGCTATATTTACCTGCGCCTCTGCAGGTATGCACAACTATAACTCCCATTGGCTCCAGATAGCCATTTGTGGCCAATGGGAGCTGCGGGAAGTGGCACAGACTAGGACACCACTTCCAAGAACTCCCATGGTCCGGAAACAGCCATCCTCAGGCAATGGGAGCTGCAATTGCCCATACCTGCAGTGGCACAGGTAAATATAGTGGTGCCGCCTGCCAGGGGCTAACTCTGGCAAACCGGATCATATCATCCTGGACTACAAGATAATGATCATCCATTTTGGCCTTTAAATCTATGAATTCTCATTCTATTTCCAGATAGATGTGGATGAAAACATACGGTACTGTGTCACAACCCCTCTCCTCTATTTCTATAGAGATGTCAATCTGATTTCCAGATCAGATTGGTTCTATAGGTTCAGAATAAGCCCCAGAATTATTTTCTCACCATTCACTAGTAAGTCACAACACCTAACCTGCTGTAGGGATTATTTTAATTAATGTTTTCTGTAACAACATCAATTGAAAGAAAACTTTTAGAAAGATATTTTGCACCAGCAGAACAGTCATGTATGGTCCTCCAGTGCAATTTAGTAGATAAGAAGTAGTTGAAAATCAGCACAAACATTCTGTAATAATAAAACCTAACTTTTCTGACCATGTACTTGTTAGTGTATTAGTGCTAGTCAAAAACCAGTATCTCTACAATCTACAATGTCTAATAGCTCAATGTGTAGCCATACCAATTCAGACACAGACAATAATGGAACTAAACTTGTTTTACCAAAACATACACATATATCCCTTGCCTTCATGTGCAATATTATGCCATTAGTCATCATGAAAGACTTTTGTTGCAGCAAGAAAAAAATGTGGTCTATAAGATGACTTTCAATTTTTTCAGGCGATTGACAGTTCTTAGGCAGTGATATGACAGATGAGTGATTGTCTAAAGGTTATTTCTTATATCAATGCAAGGAGCTTCCATTATGCAACTGAGCAATTTGTTTTATAAAGCACATCATTAGAATTTGGAAATTACTCATATGGGCCAAATTTTGAGTAGACGTTAACTCAGATCAGGTCTATCTACAGTAGACCAGAAAGGTTGACTTAAGGTACACAACTCCAGCTACGCAGAATATGTAGCAGGAGTCTGCTTACCTTAAGCCAAGCTTGGCAGTTTCCCCGCAGTGGAAGACCGACAGGGGCAAATGTGCCTGTCAGCTTCCCTTACTCCTCGCAACTCTGAGGAGCCGCCCCCAGCGTTCGATTTACAGGTGTATACTAGACTCGCTAAATCAAACACCAGAACATCAATCTCTGGCATGGCAAGTGAAGATGTGCCCTCACATATGGACTGCTGAGTTTAAATAAAAGTGTGGCATCCTCTCCAAGATCCAGCCATTCAAACCGAACAGGTTTCCCTGAGAATTTAGCATATTCGTTCCTTCTCACACAAAATATACAGAAACAAAAATGGTGAAGGCTACATTATACCCTCATTTACAATGGTGCAATCCCCTTTTAGGAAGGAAAAGCAGAACACAGAAAGAGATCATTGTGCTCCTAGGAACAGCATAGCAGCAGAGGCACTGAACGTTTTATGCTCTGCCCTCTCACCTCTAACAAGACCATAGCCAAGGGAGCTGCTACAAAGCACAAAGGCCAAGTGAATTCTACCTCCTCCACAATATCCATATGCCTCAGGACCATTCCATCAGTGGTGGCAATTCACCCAGAAACCTCAAAAAGGGGCATCTTACACAGCTAGAGCATTCTTTTGCTATTTACCAGGTAGATGATTTACACGGTGTTGCTTGGGTTCTTAATTCAAAAAACGTTTGTTTTACTTTGTTTAAATCATTGCTCTGGAGAGGGGCTAGAGATGAGGGGTTCAGTATGCAGGTTTCCCAAGGGAGGATGATGGCATTAAAAATATTTGTATCTTTTTATGATATAAAGACACTAAGTCAAATGTTTTAGTGTGTTTATTACACAACAAAATATTAGTGTCATGCTCTGGAACAATATATTTTACAACAACTAGATTTGATGGCATTTAAGTTTGCTGAACATTTTATTTAAGAAAAGCATACGTTGGAAAAGGTATCTTTTTCATATTTCTTTTAGCACCTGCATACATTAAAGACAGTTTTCACTGTGAAATTTCAGTGTTGGCATCTGAGCAAAATACATATACAACAGGGGAAAACTCAGGAAAATAAAATAAATTAAAATCAAGTTATGGATTATCGTATTAAAGTCAATATGCAGATAATGCCAGGCTTTGTTGTGTATAGTTTGTAGTGATGTTAAAGGTTAACTGATTAATCAGTAAGCCTCGTGCTTAATGAGTGAGTCTTACTAGTTCTGGTTAACAGGTAGGTATAGGCTGGAGCAGCTCCCTGACTGCCTCTGGCAGGGGGCTGCTGCAGCCCAGCAGGGCCTGCCAGAGCCTGTCCATGGCAGGTCCAGCTGCCCCCACCTCTCACCTCCGCTGCAGGTTAGATGCTAGCTCCCTGGGAGCAGGGCCAGCAGCAAAGGGTCTCCTTGCTACCCTTGTTGGCCACGCTCCCAGGAAAGCACCTTATTCAAGCTTTTATACTACAGTGTATGTAACTGTGTAACCACTATGATTTTTAGCAGTTATGTGGTTACGTTTTTAAACGCATTTTTACATCCCTAATAGCTTGTATTGTCCAATGTTTCCCATGTCATACATGCGAGACATCCCTTATTGCTGACATTTTTCTACAGTACTATATATTTCTGAATGTTGGCCAAGGCAAAGAAAAGGAATTTATTTTTTGTGGTTAATTAAATTTGTTCTGATAGCTAGATAGCCTTTTATGATGCTGATGATAAGTGTCCTTGGGTCGGTAATCTTGTAAGGCAGAATTGCACTCATAAAGGTAAAATGACATGATTAGCAAGTTCAACTTCAGGCTTGACAGCAACATACTCTCAATTAAACAAATGGGCTGACAAACTATAGCCATTAAAAAACTTTTAGGAAAAATAACATGGTAAGTAATAAACCAGGCATACGTGCACAAACAGCCACTAGTTCTCAACCCAATATACGTGAGTAATTTCAAAAGGTGATTTGTTATATTTGATGTTCCTATTAGGGTTGCCAGATGGTTTCAACAAAAATACCGGACACACTTGACATTACATCACAATCTACATTACATCTTATTTAGAAAATACTGGACATTTGTATTTTCTCATTTATATTTTCTCAATTTGTTTCCTGAACAGAAAGCTCAAATACTGGACTGTCTGATTCAAAACCGGACACCTGGCAACCCTAATTCCTATTGGTCAAAATTTATTTCTACAATTTTTAATTGTCTGCAACAATTCTGCTTTATTTCTATTTCCCACTCTGCAGGTCTGCACCTATCTGCCACATTTAGGGCACTGGAGAAGGAGGAAGGGTGCAGTCCCTGTGGTCTGCTGACATGCTGTTGTGCCTGGTCTTTACATGGGCCTGAAAGATGTACCTGAATAGGAATCTCCGGGAACCCTCCCTGCTTGTTCACTATGTAAGGGTCAAGAACAACTCGGGCTTTTATAAAAAGCCCCCTCCACTGATATTCATGCTGCAACAATGTCTTCAGTGTTACCACGATACAGTTCCCAAACACAAAGCTGCAATTATCATTCTGGTTATTACACATTGTTTCCCATTTTTCACTCTACAAAACTCTATTTAATCACGGATCTCACTGGCGCCCCAAATGTAAAATTGGCTCTTCACTTATACGCATTCTTTACTAAGAGAAAGTAGATTCCAGAGTTGGGAAAAGGGCTGCCAGCACCATCTGCATGCATAGGGTGGTCATAAGG